GGCACCTTCACGAAGCACTCGTTGAGCGAGAGGTTGTGGCGAATGGAGTTTTGCCAGCCCTGCTTGTTTTCCCGGTAGAAAGGGAAGCGGTCCATGATGAACTGGTAGATGCCGTTCAAGGTGATCTTCTTATCCGGCGCGTTTTGGATCGCCATGGTGATCAGGGCGATGTAGCTGTAGGGCGGCTTCACCAAGTCTTTGGGCGCCGTGGGCTGGTGAGGGTGATAAGGCCCGTAGGAGCGCCCCATACCGGCCGCGTACTGGTCGGGGTGCCCCGGGTAGACCCCCATGGAGCCCGCCATGCTGCCGTAAGTCCCAGCCGTCCGGTAATAGTTCTGCTCGCTCAGATAAGGCACCACTCCCAGGGCGTTGGGGTCCGAGACGGAGTAGCGGGCCTGCATGGCGTCGGTTTTTTCAAAAAAATTCCCCTCCCTCCAAAAACGACAACAAAGTCAGATCTGGTAGAGGGAGGGCGAAGAAGGAAGGGGGAAATGTGCCCCCCTATGGCCTAGTCGCGTTGTTCTCGGGAGGCCAAATCGCTGCCCCCCGCCCGCCCCCTCCAATCTCCTCCGCTGAGCGAGGCCTCCTCCTCCTCCTCCTCAGAGCCAAAACATTCTCCGAAGCTGCTTTGCAAAATGGTCGAAACTCTCAAGCTCTTGCGCGGCGATCTGTCGCTGGGATCTCCTCCCGCATGGTTGAAAAGCGACGACGATGCTCTTGGAAAGAGGAGCAGCGCAATCAGTGCACCGGCGTACCAAGTTTGTTTGTTTTTTTTCTTTCTGAAAAGCAAAAGCAAAAAAGCAAAAACAAAAAAGCGCGACGACAGACCAACAGGACGGATGGAGAGGCAGATTTTCGCAAAGGAGGGAGGGGAATGACAGCAATAATCTTGCAAGAAGAAAGGGATGAAGCCCTATCGCTCAGGGCTCTCGCTTGCTCCGCTGTCTCTGCCCGCAAAGGCTCGCGACCCGCCGGCTCCGTTTGTCCCGGGTGAAAGCGGAGCGCGTGCAAACAAAAACAAGCCGTCGGAATCCAAATAAACGGTTCCTGTGCCGGCGACGCGCGCGCCACTCTGGAGCACAGCGCGAGGGGAGCCTCCGGGAAGCCCCGCGCCAGGCGAACTCCCCATCGAGGGCTGGAGAAAAGTTTCCAAAACTTCCCTTGCGGAAGGCCCGTTTTTACTCCTCGCTGGCCACGCCTCCGCCCTGCGGTCTCATCCAATGGCGGCCCGGCTCGGGCTCGGGAGAGCCAATGGGAGAGTCGGAGGAGAGCGCCGTAAGGACGCGGCGGGGCTCCGGGAAGCGCGGCGAAGTTCGGGGTGGCTTCTGGCGTCCGCCTTCGCGGGTGGAACAGGGGCGATTCTGGAGCGCGAGGAGCAGGGTGGGTGCCGGGTGGGAGAGGTGCGATCGGTGGGATCCGAGGTCTGATTCGGTTTAAAGCCGAATCAGAAGCCGTTGCGCAAAGGCATCCGCGTTCTCAATTTAATTCCATCTATTTTAAAGATTGGAGCCACCGTCTCCGAAAAGGCTACTGTTCTAAAATATTTCCCCGCACTGGCAAATCTCCTATATGAAGCGAATTTTCCTTTTCAGGGTCGTTCGACTTTTTTAAAAAATGAAATCTCTCCTCATCCGACACCAGCGATAACAATACCTGAGCGCCAGTCTAGGCTCTTTTCTTAAATTTTAAAGGGCGCTGAAGACAGCGCAGGGGATTTGTTCGCTCCCCTGTACCCGATGCGCCAAATCGATTTGCACTGCAAAGGAAAAAGCAAAGTTGTTTTTTTAAAAAATAGAATTACTTGACACCTCCGTCCTAACCTCATTTAACACCTCGGTCCTAAATACCTGAGATTAAGTTCCAAGGAAAGTGCTTCCCCCGCTCTCTTTTTTTTCCCTTTTTTCTTTTTACCACCGAGGCTCTTGCTTCGAAATTGTGTAGATTTCAGTTGAGATTTCTTGGGCGTCGAGAGTGCCTAACGACTTCACAGCTAATGTGCTTCAATTTAGACATTCAGTTTCTTTAAAAAGATGGCTTGAAAGGGATTTTGTTAGACTGACGACGCCCCCTCGCCGCCGCCCAATTCGACCCTCTAATTATTCCATTAGAGGCAATTAGGTTTGGTTAATTAGGGACGCGAGTCCGCAACCTAGGTGTGATCTTCCCCCCCCCCCTAATTTCCCGGGTCGGGACGCTCCGCTGTGCAAAACAACTGCAAACGGGGTGGAGAGGAGAGGAAAACAATTATATTTTATTCCTTCACTTCCAATTCCATTATTATTATTAAAAATCTGACAGTCAATTTCGATGTTTAAACCATATCCAAACTCATTTAGGCTTCCTTCCTTCCTCCCCACCCCGGTTTAAATGTGCTTTTCCCACAAAATTTCTGCTGCGATTTTTTAAATGAATGATATGGCTCCGGGGACGGGTGAAGTGCTCACCGGAATGTTTTACGGTGCAATTCCTAGGCGGGTATTTTTTTAATCTCACTACGATGGAGGGGGGCTTTATTCCTAGGTAAGTGTGAGGCTAGAAAGCGAGGCAGAACATTTCCAAACTGATAACAGACCTGTAAGTGTCGACGGCTCCTTTTGCCGCCCCAAGCTTCTATTTGACTTGATGTGACTGATTTCAATCCATCGATTTTCAGTGCTTCTAAAACAATAATGATGGCAAGCCTCTAGGATCTTGGGAGAAAGATTCCAAGGTATTGATAGCTAGTACAGGATCTTTTGCAAACTAGAAAGATCTGAGGCTGAGGAGCATTTTACTGTTAGGAGGCCCATTTGGGAATTTATTTATTTGAAAAGGAGAGAGGCTCAAAATACCGACCATATTAAACAAAAAAATACAAGAAAAAATATTCCATATCCTTTGAAGTATTTCTAGAGATTCTGAATCTGTATTCTTTTTTTAGAGGGAGGGGGATATAAATACTCTTTCTTTTGGAACACACTGGTCTTGTAGCCAGCTGTTTTGTGAAAGGATGGATAAATGACTTGAGGTGGGGGGAATAGTACCATATATCAGAATTTGTTTGTTGTCGTGAGATTTCATGGTCCTGAGATTTCATGGAAGCCCTTCAAATAAGAACACCCAAAACACGCCTTGTAAGAAGAAAAGAAATAAAATTGCTAAGGAAATTTGAAATTAAGACATGACGAGGTTGCAAATATTCTTGAAATGCCCTCTTCCAAATTTTGTTCTGTTTAATCCATCACGCTGTTACAATTAAATCCAGTTTCCCAATTTCCCTCGGAATGTAACTGAATATGTGAAAAGCATGTCACGGATTTGACAGGCAATGCAGACAAACTGGATACACAGTAACGGGAAATCTCAACTTTCTTATTTCTGAAAAACAGACTCGCTAGCCAGTATTTTATAAGAAATTGAAATGAAAAGAGACGGGGAGATTTCCCATCTATTTTTGGAATGATTGCTCCTGTTTTCCGTTCTTCTACCCTGTTTCTGAAGTTCCAAGACTATTTAACTGAGTTACCAAAGAAAAAAAGAAAAAAGAAAATTATTCATAGATTCCCACAAAAACAAGCAAGCAAACAAAAAGAGGGAAAGGGAAATAAATAAATCCCACGCACCTTTAAATAAACTATCCAAACAATGTTTTGTATCTCAGATTAACTCCTTCGGAAATTAAAATAATCGCTTTATCGTAAAATAGGAGTGATTGGAACGGGAGGGATAAGCTTTACTGCTCCGATGCGTCTTTAAAATCCTCGAAGCAAGCTTCCCAGATACACAGAACGCTTATTCGGACTTACTATTATTTATATAATTTAAATAAATTTAAATAAATTCAGCGGATGTTGCATGGGTAGAGTGGCGTTTACCTTTACATAGATCGCTTCCTTCATCCCCTTTTAAACTTTCCCATTGCTGCAGTCTTCGGGGATATGTTTGTCGGAAAAGACAACAGTTATAACGCCTGTTGCTTTGGAGCATCATCTAAAGGCGTTCGCGCCAAGCTCACGAGCTGGAGTTTGCTGCCCTCCACAGCTTAAAAGAGTGAATTGAACGGTGCCCTGGAAAAACCTCCCGCCTGTGGAATGGAGACAGCGACACCTTGTGGGTAAATAACAGCAGCGCACACATTGTAGAACGTATCTGCCCGTACAGTAACACCCATTGGACGGTGTAGGACTTACTCATAAGAACCAACTCCTAGGGGCCGAGGTCACTTCGCCACCTCCCAAAAAAATATTTGAGGAGGCCAGCCCCCCCCCAATTGATGAGCATTCCCGTTCAAACGGTGTGTGTGCGCCCCCAATATTTTATTCAAGTTAGCACCCCTGGATCTACTTCTGAGTAAGCATGTGATTGCGCTATGCATCTTTCCTTTCACCTATCACTCGCTCTCTGTTCCTAGAAAATGTAACTTGGAAAAGCGGCATTGCACTTACTTTTGTAAAACAAGAAATCTAGAAAGAAAGAAAGAAAGAAAGAAAGAAAGAAAGAAAGAAAGAACGAACAATAGAGAGCAACATCTGAACTTTAAAGGCTGGAAGCGAGCATCATTCATTCTTGACAAATGTGTTTCCAAGTAAACGTGCGTGAACGGGATCAAGCTATAAATTCAAAGTAATTATCCTAAAGTGCCCAGTTTATTGAAAATTCTATAGGGGTAACCGTATTTAGTCTGCTGGAAAGAACATTAGTGAGTAACAGAGGAAGGGGGGGTTGTTTGTTTGTTTGTTTGCTTCAGGAGCACTGTTTTCACCTCTATGCAATTTTTAATCAAATATTTAACTGCAAATTTCTCATCCTTTATTGACTGCAGTACTTAGATGCCATTGCTGGACCTTTTAACGTTTCTTTCATTTTCTCCCGGCGGTAGTGAATGAAACATCCAGACTCTGCCGCTTGCAACGCACCCTTTGCGCTTGCCGAACTGCGCGCAGGTAAGCATGCAGCGGTCGCCGGAGGAGCTGCGGACTCCGGTACCTTCTTCCGCGCTCAGTGCTGTCCCTTCTGGGTTGCCGTAGTCCGTGTCAGCACGTGGAGCGAACGGCAGCTGGAGGAGGAGCGACAATGTAACTGGCTGGGCTGACTCGGCCAGCTCCGGGGCAGGCATGGAGCGGGCGCAGCAAACGGGCAGCCCCGGTAATGAAGGAGACGCTGGGGCAAGGACCTTCCTGGCAAAGCGCATGCTTTGCACGCAGAATGCCAATCCTTGGCACCTCCGATGTGCAAAAGGTGGCCGATTTGGGCATCAGCTGCTGAGGCAGCCCCGAAACAGAACCCGAGTCGTGCCGGTTAAGGAGCATTCTGATCCCTTGTTCCTAATCCTATGTGGCAAGTGGGGTGCCTGGGACAGGACTGGAGCTCTGGTAGCTGGTTCTGCCAGGACCTATGAGGCCAAGGGAGCATAGCTGTCAACGTTTCCCTTTTTTAAAGGGAAATTCCCTTATTCCGAATAGGATTCCTCGCAAGAAAAGGGAAAAGTTGACAGCGATGCAAGGGAGACAACTGCCTCAGGCGGCAGGATCCACAGGGGTGGCAAATCCCAATGTCGATCTCTCTCTCCCCCCCCCTCCCCCCATTCTTGATAATAGCTCTTCACTCACTCCTTTACCTGGCAGGAAGGGGGGGCACCAGTTTGCCATCCGCCTTGGGTGCCAAAATGTCTTGGGCCAGCCCTGAGTTCTACTATGAAGGGAGGTGAGCCAGGAAACTAGGCCCTGCGGTTCAGGGATGCATTCAGTCCCTCCACCTCAATATCTGGCTGTCCAACACGCTGCCTTATTCTGTAAACACCTGGCTCACTAGCCAACTAGCTGCTGCTTTGTTTGCCTCCTTCTTGGGAAACTAAGCCAGGAAGAAGGCTTGCTCTTACCTCTGCTTTAGGTGCAGATGGTCTACTCATGCTAAACTGGGGGTTGGGGCACTTGTGTGCCTTTTCAATTGAAAATAAATCAATCACAGAGGTGCTGAGGGAAGGGAGGAAGCTGTGTGCAGGTTTCTGTGCAATCTGCATAGGAACATATCAAACTGCCTTATACCCGGATCAGACCATTGGTCCATCTAGCTCTGTGCTGTCTACACTGACTGGCAGCAGCTCTCCAGGGAACATTCCCAACCCTGCCAGGAGATTGAACCTGGGGCCTTCTGCATGCAAAGCAGATTCTCTTCCCACTGAGCTATAGCCTATTCCCCAACATCTAGACTGATCTAGATTCTGAAGGGGCGCTGGAAACTGTTAAAAAATAGAATGCTTCTAATTTGTTAAATATATAAAGAATAAATAAATACTTGATTAAGGCTGCAGTCCAAACCCCACTTTCTTCGTAACTGAGCCCCAGGGAATTCAAGAGGACTTGCTTTTAAGTAGGAATGGTTGTGCTTGCACTATAAGGTATACCTAGAGTAAAGGTAAGGTAAAGGGACCCCTGACCATTAGGTCCAGTCATGACTGACTCTGGGGTTGTGGTGCTCATCTCGCTTAATTGGCCGAGGGAGCTGGCGAACAGCTTCCAGGTCATGTGGCCAGCACGACTAAACCGCTTCTGGCGAACCAGAGCAGCGCACGGAAACGCGGTTTACCTTCCCGCTGAAGTAGTACCTATTTATCTACTTGCACTTTGACGTGCTTTTGAACTGCTAGGTTGGCAGGAGCAGGGACCGAGCAACGGGAGCTCACCCCGTCATGGGGATTTGAACCACCGACCTTCTGATCGGCAACTCCTAGGCTCTGTGGTTTAACCCACAGCGCCACCCAATTCCCTCAGTAGACCTGTTGAAATCAGTGTACTTCTCAAGGGTCTGTTCTGAATATGTCTAGCATTGGATTTTGTCCAGGCTTATGTGGAAAATGCCAGTGTGAATCCATCCTGACTCTTACGTTCTCTTCTTTATTGCAAGGAGTTTCCAAGTGGGACATCCGCCATAAAATTTGGGACTACATGGAAGCAAATAACTTGGCTGATTTCCCAAGACCTGTCCATCACCGGATTCCCAATTTCAAGGTATGACAACATGGCCTCCAGGTGAAAATTAAAACACACAACATCTATTGGAACACATTCCTGCTTATTCCTACAGAGGAAGGCTGTCAATGGTTGGGACAGGTTTTGACGAAATACTGACAGTGAGTTTATTGAGTAACACGGCATCCGGTATCACCTGCAAATTTCATTCGGCTTCTGCATGCGGCCCTTGAGGCCTTTTGGGGCGGCCCTCAGCAACATTTTATGCCCTTCCCACAGCCCTTGTGATGCCTTCCCAAAGCCAGGTAAGTGAGGCAGTAGGCTTTGGGAAGGAGGCATGAGGGCTCTGACAGGGTCCTAGAGTCCTTCCTCCTCCCCACCAAAGTCTATTTAGTGCTTTTTCCAGCTTTGGGAAGAAGCTGGAAAGTCTCCAGGACCCTGCCAGAGTCTTGCATCTCCTTCCCAAAGCCTAGACCAGGGGTCAGCAACCTTTTTCAGCTGTGGGCTGGTCCACCGTCCCTCAGACCTTGTGGTGGGCCGGATTATATTTTGGAAAAAAGTATGAACGAATTCCTATGCCCCACAAATAACCCAGAGGTGCATTTTAAATAAAAGCACACATTCTACTCATGTAAAAACACCAGGCAGGCCCCACAAATAACCGAGAGATGCATTTTAAATAAAAGGACACATTCCACTCATGTAAAAACAAGCTGGTTCCCAGACCATCCGCGGGCTGGATTTAGAAGGCGATTGGGCCGCATCTGGCTCCCGGGCCTTAAGTTGCCTACCCCTGGCCTAGAGCCTTTCTTATTCAGCTTTGGAAAGGCAGCGTGAGGATTGTGGGGTCATCAAATTTTGGCTTTGCTCCCCCTCCACACTGTGTGACAAGGCAGTGTGCGGCCCGTGGGTTCTGTGTCAAAGTAATCTTGTGGTCCACTTGGGATGAGAAGTTGGACCGCCCTGTTCTAAGGGCTATAGCTCAGTGATCAGAACATCTACTTTGCATGCAGGAAGTCTCAGGTTCAATCCCCAGCATGCAGGGCTGAAACCCTGGAGAGCCACTGTAGACCAGTCTTTTTCAACCTTGAGTTCACAGGTGTTGCACTACAACTCCCATCATCCCTGACCACTGGTCCAGCTAGCTAGGGATGATGGGAGTTGTAGTCCGACAACATCTGGGGACCCAAGGTTGCGAAAGGCTCCTGTCGACAATACGGATCTAGATGGACTGACTTGGTAGAAAGCAGCTTCTCATGATCCTAAGGGCTAAGCCTCTTCCACATGTCGCTTCTTACGAGAGATATCTCACCAAAACAGGATGCACCACGTGCTTCTGCAAGGCTTCCTGATTTGCAGGAGTTCCAAAGTGCCAGGACTGTTAAAGTCAACCCTGATGCCCCCCAGAAGAATGCCCGCTTTTTAGCTCTGGAAGTGAGTATGCTGCTTTCCCCACTTTCTCCCTGGCGCAAGGATCTTTCGAGATGAGCAGCTCCGCCCAAGCATGGGATGTCTTTGATAAAGCCATGGAGGTCAAGGTGGATCCTGACAAACCTCTGGAGGGAATCCGGCTGGCTGCGCTGCAGGTAACCAGACCTTTGCTCCGAGGGGCGATTTCGTAGGCTCGTTTTTGTGTGAACACCCGCCTGTCTCCTCTTCTCCCAGGCCAGGAAAGCTCTCTTGGTGCCAACCCCACGCCTGCGGACGGGGCTGTTCAACAGGATCATCCCTCCCCCTGGAGCAACCAAAGAGATGCTAAGAAAATGTGCCACCTCTCAAGTAAGAACGGCAGGGAGGAGGAAGCAAGAACAGTTTTTTTGGTTAATTGATTTCTACTGTGCTTCAAAAAGACTGCTGAGCATCAATGGGACTGGCTAGAAGGCGGTTGAAAAGTGATTAAGTTTGCTGGATGTTTCTGTTTCCTCACTTTCTTGATTTTTTCGTATTGGTATGTGCAGACTGCAAAGCATTTCTACTATTCCAGGCCAAATCAACAGCATCCCCTATAAGGAATGGCTTGTTGCTGTCTTGTAGGTCGTAAAGTGGGGTTTTGGCGCCCTCCAGCGTTGGAATGCCAAAAGCAGGCAGGCGTTATGGGATATATTTTCCAGAGGAGTGCCTGTGTTAATCTGTTGCAGAAAAACAAACAAACACAGGATCTTGCTGCAATGCCTTTTAAAGAGCCACAGATTTATCCCATGGCATAAGCTTTCGTGGGCTAAAATCCACTTTGTCAGGTGCATGTAGTGTGTTTAACCTCACGGGACTAGGACCTGGGAGACCAGGATTCAATTCCCCAACCAGCCATGAAGCTCACTGGGTGGCTTTGAGGCAGTCACTGTCTCTCAGCCTTAGCTACCTCACAGGGTTGTTGTGAGGATAAGATAGGGAGGGACAGAACCATGTACACCACCTTGTGCTCCTTGGAGTAAAAGGTGGGATATAAATATAGTCAAAATATTATTAATAACTAAAACGTTACTTAGTTAAAGATAAAGGGACCCCTGACCATTAGATCCAGTCGTGACCGACTGTGGGGTTGCAGCGCTCATCTTGCTTTATTGGCCAAGGGAGCCGGCATACAGCTTCCGGGTCATGTGGCCAGCATGACTAAGCTGCTTCTGGCAAACCAGAGCAGCACACGGAAAAGCCGTTTACCTTCCTGTCAGAGTGGTACCTATTTATCTACTTGCACTTGATGTGCTTTCGAACTGCTAGGTTGGCAGGAGCAGGGACCGAGCAACAGGAGCTCACCCCGTCGTGGGGATTCGAACTGCTGACCTTCTGATTGGCAAGTCCTAGGCTCTGTGGTTTAATCCACAGCGCCACCCATGTTACTTAGCTAGTAGTTAGTTAATAGGTTCACATACGTGTACATATATACATACATATATTGGTGTATATTCATATAGGCAGTGCTGTCAAACGGAACTAAATGTAAAAAATGCAGTCTCTGATTATGGTCACATTCACACCATACATTTTAACAGTCTTGGAGAATCCTGGGAACGGTAGCTTGTTGAGGGTGTGGGAACTATAGCTCTGTGAGGTCAGCACCCTGTGAGGCCAGCAAAAATGATAGTTCCCACGGTTCCCCGTGACTGTTAAAGTGGTAGGATAGTGCTTTAAACATACAATGTGGATATGAATAAATCCACTATAAGTTTAAATGTAAGCAAGATGACCATCCGCCATGGCAGAAACTGATAGTAACATAACTCCAGTGGAAGAGGAATCCATGATCGCAATAGAAGCTGCAGGTGACAGAACTGAACTGCCTGATTAAGTTGTCCGTCTGCAGTTTGTGCTGGAGACCCCCTTTGAAGCTCCTTTGTTCGAGAATGAGCACGTTCAGGTCAGCGGCAGAACGGAAAACCTGGCATTTCTGAAATTGGGTTTAGGATGGGATTTCCTCCAAGCTGACGTTCCCAATTGCTTGAGAATCCCAGAAGAACAACTTGGCTGGCTTCCAAGAAGAGAGCAGGACCGGCTGTGCTGGATAGAGGAGGCTTCTGTTCTCTCTCAATAGACTGTTGTTTGGTGGTTGTGGGGGGGGGGAGGTTTGCAAGGGGGAGAGAGAAGGGAGCAATTCAGGCTGATGGTGAGCAACCACTCTTCTCTTCCTCCTCTCTTTCTTTTCTTTTTCAGGGTGTTCGGGATTACAGCGTACCTGTCGGACTAGACTCAAAGGTCCACGTGGACCTGGTTGTGGTAGGATCTGTGGCTGTTTCTGAGAAAGGTACTTGGCAGAAAACCATGTGGCTGGGAATTTCAGCCAGAGGGAAGCTGCTGAAACAAATTCCAGATAGCTAAGCCTGGGCAGATTATCTAAATGGAATAGAACCTCCATGTTTAGTGGCAGTATATGCTCCACTGAGTATCAGTTGGCAGGTGGGAAGATAGTGAGGGAGGGCTGTTGCCTTCCTGCCCTGATTATGAGCTTCCTGGAAGTTTCCAGTTGGAAGATGGACAAGGTGGGCCACACCATTGATATGATCCAGCAAGGCTCAGCAAGGCTCTTCTTATGCTCATTATACTTGAGATCAGAGCCCCCATATACCAAGGCAGTATACCCCCCAAGTTGGATAGCAACATAGGAAGCAGCTTCATATCAAGACAGGCCATTGGTCCATTTAGCTCAGTCTTGTCTACACGTACTGGCAGCAGCTCTGCAGGGTTACAGACAGAGGACATTCCCAGACCTTCCTGGGATTGAACATGTGGGGTCTTTTGCATGCAAAGGTGGGTCACGGGTCTGAAAAGACCACAGTGTAAGATCATGGTCTTGGAGCAGTTGTGACTGGTGCCCATTAGGAGCTGTAGAGCCGAAGGCAGGGAAGTTGACTGCAGGTGGTGCCAGAGCCAATAGCAGGAAGAGCCCACTAATTCTAGTTTTGTCCCATCCTCCTCCTGCCTGCTGGGTTCTACAAGGGCAATACTGAGACTTAACAAACAGGGAAGCTGACAGGCTGCAGCACTCCCAGAAAGGTTGTAAGAAGGCAGGCAGGTAGGGACTGGCTGAGGGCAGGCCAAGGTTGTTAGAACAGTGCACCATTCACCCTAACAAGACCAGCCTGCACTGTCTTTGAGTCATGGCTTGCAACAAGGAATGTCTACCAATCACAAAAGGAGGAGTGAGATATGAGGTGGTCATATTTGGGAGCCAGTGGAGCATCAGTATCTTGGCTAGATGCAAGGCTATGTCAAAGTTTTAATTCTGAATGAAAGTCAGCAGCTGAATTTTTACTATAATGTAAGGACACTATAAGAGCTACCTGGATCAGGTCAGTGGCCCATCTAATCCATCTTCCTGCTTCTCACAATGGCCAATTAGGTGCCTCAGTTGGAAAGCCTGCAAGCAGGCCCAAGCACAAGAGCACTCTGCCTTCCTGCAGTTTCCAGCAACTGGTGTTTAGAAGCATTGCTGCCTCTCGCTATGGAGGGCAGAGTGTAACCATCATGGCTAGCAGCCATTGATCACGTATCCTGCATGAATTTGTTCAGTCCTCTTTTGTAGCCATCCAAGCTGGCTCCTGTGAGAGTTAGTTGAACTATACAGACCTCATTATAAATAAATAAAGGCAATTAGTTTTCCAGGTTGGGTCCACACTGTGCAGTGGTTCTGTTCAGGCTATTCTACTCCAATTCCCTCACCCTTCCTCTCAATATTCCATTCCCCCTGCATGCCCACTGAATATGCTCAGTTCTCATTGGGCTCCAATGGCCGAATTTTTGCCCTCTCAGGGTCTCCCCCAACACACACTAGCTATTTCCTTGCACTTTTCCAAACCTTGGAGTTATCTCTAGCCTGCTGAGACCTTCCTCCTGAGGGTGAGTCATGCTGTTTTGGTTAGATAAGCTGCAGTGGAGGCTGGTGAAGAATGGCAAATGGGATACTCCCCAACCAACCTCAGTCAACCCCCAGTCCAGGGGGTGGCTTCCTCCTCCTCAGTCTCAGTGTTGCCCTTGTAGAACTCAGAAGGGAGGAGGTTGGGGACAAAACTGGAAGTAGTTGAGTCCGCCTCTCATTGGCTCTGGGCCTGCCTATCATTGGATCTGGCTCCACCTACAATTGCTCTGCCCTACCAATCCGGGTGGCATCAGTCACCACATTTGTACAGCTAAGTTTATGACTAGAGAAGAGAGAGTGTGTGTAATGATTTTCCAGGACTGTAGGTGGCAGACTTCCTCTTAGAAAAAGGTACTTATCTCTCTGACTCCAGCAAAGATAAATCCTGCAGAGGTAGTTTTAGAGGCGGCCACACTGGGTAAAAATTTGTGCTGCAGGGGGTGCCATAACAATGTTGTAGAATGGTGCACAAGAGTCGGGCAGTGCTGAATTTTAGCACCGCATGGGGCACCGCTGAAATTTGAGAGCCCAAGGTCTGCCAAGGAATCCCTCTTCTGACACTGGCTGCATCATCTAGAAAAAAAGCGTGTATTGGCTTTTCTTCGGAAGAATCCTTGTAGATTTAGCAGAAGGGTGAATGAAATAATAAATAAAAGCTCCTATGATGAGCCAACCTAACAGATTTAGTTAGTCCAGTAACTATGGAACTCTCTGCCACAGGAGGCAGTGATGACCACCAACTTGGACAGATTTAAAAGAGGATTGGACAAATTCACAGAGGAGAAGGCTACCAATAGCTACTAGCCACAATGGCTATGTTCTGCCTTCTTGGGCATAAGCAGTAATGCTTCTGAACACCAGTTTCTGGAAACCACAGGAGGGGAGAGTTCTCAGGTCCTTCATGTAGGCTTCCCAATAGAGGCATCTGCTAAGCCTCTGTGAAAACAGAGTATTGGCCTGGATCGGCCCTTGGCCTAATCCAGCAGGCAATTCCTGCTTATATAAGTAATTCATCCCTGTGGTTGTTTCTTTTTGTGGTCTCTCACTTTCTCACTGCAGGCTTCCGAATCGGGAAAGGAGAAGGCTTTGCAGACCTGGAGTATGCAATGATGGTCTCCATGGGAGCTGTAAGAGAGGACACAGTAGTTGTCACAGCCGTTCATGACTGCCAGGTAACAACAGCTGCATGGAACTGGGGCAACTCGCTACCTGGCAGGGTGAGGCTTCCTGGGCACTGGGCAAGATCTGAGCTAGGAAACAAATTTGGTGATTTCTTTGTGATATTCAAAGTAAGCACTTTGCAGAATTAAACTCTGCCCCTTCAGATTGTGGTCAGGGGAAACGAGACAAGCGAATCACCAAATATTGCACTCCCCAGAAGCCTACTGATTTCCCAAATTCAATAATCTCTTTGTAAAGGAAAAATATTTGGATGCAAGATCAACCGTGGAAGCAAAAACTAGAGGAGATCATGAGCCTCTGTGATGAGGCAGGCAATGGATTTAAATTTCAGCTGAGCTATTTGCTCTGACTGCAGTATTTCTTCTATTCTCTGAATGGAACTCACTCCTGCAGGAGGCGATGATGATCACCAACTAGAATGGCTTTAAAAGAGGATTAGACAAATTCATGGTGGATAAGTGGTTAATGGCTGCTACAGCTGTGATGAGTATGCTTTGCCTCCACAGCCAGAGGCTTCTGAATACCAGTTGCTGGAAAATGGCAGGAGGGGAAAATGCTCTTGTGCTAGTCCTGTTTGAGAGTTTCCTGTAGGCATCTGGTTGGCCACTGTGAGAACAGGATGCTGACCTAGGTGGGCCATTGGCCTGATCCAGCAGGCTCTTCTTGCCTTCTTATGGTGCTAAAGGGCTCTGCATTTGAAAGCCACCTATGAACTGATGATATTTTTCCTCCTCCTTAATATAGGTGGTTGACATACCAGAAGATCTGCTGGGCGACCATGACCTAACTGTGGATTACATCCTTACCCCAACGAGAATAATCAAGACAGGGTGCAACCACCCCAAGCCACAAGGGATCCTCTGGCACAAGGTAGGTGGCCGGTTCTGCAATCAGCAGTTTGCTGGGGTGCTAGAGAGGCATTTCAAGTGTCTTGCAGAATGTGCATTAGATGTGCTATAAATGAATAGGTTGTTGGTGACAACAACTAACTATTAGCATCACAGTCTGAGGCGTAGGGCTAGTGGGTTAGATGCAATGTTAGTCCTATGCAGATTAGACCCATTCAAATGAATGGGCCTAAATTAGTCACGTCTTCTGATTTCAGTGGTTCTGCTCTGAAAAGGAAAAACACTGGGTACAGTCTATTATTTAATTCAATTTGGTAGCAGAAGGCTGGACTAGAGGAAGCAAAGATAGCCCTATGTGTGGGGGTGGGCAGGGGGGGCGTGACTTTCCATTTTTAAGGGGAGCTGTTAGTTTTACCACCCACCGAGAATAAAGCTAGTATGTGGACAGACGTATGGGCCTGTTGTTGTTTTATAAAGTATATCAATGTGTGGTTTTTAAAAATTGATTTGATGTTTGCATTCATACAAAATTTGAGACGAAAAATAAATAGGAGGAAGAAGCACGATATTAGAAGACCAATAACAGAATAACAAATAATTCAACCAGAGGCAGTGAGCAGTTTATCGATTCATAAAATCATACAAATATACAAAAAATTGCATCAGAATAATAATTATTATCCTGATATAAATATAATACTTATAAATACGTTAATGTAGGTGAGGAAGTTTGCCTGAGTAATTCTGTTAAAATTTTAAGTTATTGCCATTTATTTATACTAGTTGTTTATAATTTGAAGTTTGGGAAGAATCATTATTGTACCATCTCATAACCGAAAAAGCGTTGCAGCTAATCCTCCATCCCACCCTGTTTGCCATTCCAAAGTTTTTTAAACATTGTACATTCTTGTCTGAATCTGTTTGTTTTCATTGTTAAATACTGCCAGGATGTCTAGGAATAGAGAGCAGCTCAGGAATATTGGAAGCAGAGTGGGGTGGGGACAAGAAACATCTCAATTTGAATCTTCAGGCTGATTGGCTCAGGTGTGTTGCTGTGGTGCCCATTGGCTCTGGTGGGGCGGAAGGCAGGGGAACCAACAGTAGGTGGAGCCAATGAGCCAACGACGGGCACCACTGCCCCCTGATTGGTTGTAAGTAAGAAGGCAAGCTTGAAGCTGGTAGGTCAGTGCCCCATTCAGCCTAATGAAGTAATGTTGTGTTCATTACTTCATAACAAAAGCACTGAGGGATGGAGAGGGGAGCCTGCAGATTTCTTTTTATTTCCTTGTTTGTTTAAAAGTATCTCCACCTGCCTTTACCGCTGCATAGCCCTGCAAGTGGTTTGTTGCAGAACCAAAAATGGTTGCAGCAAAAGTAGCATGTCAGAAAGCAATCAGACCAAAGGTCTAGCCCAGCATCCTATTCTCACGGTAGTCGGCCAGATGCCTGTGAGAAACCCACAAGCAGGATTCAAGCACAAGAGCTCTCTCCCCAGTTTTGTACCCCAGGACCTGGTATTCAGCAGTACAGGGCTTCTGACAGGGGACACACAGCATAGCCATTATGACTAGCAGCCATTGATAGCCTTCTGCTGCACAAAGTTGTCCAGTCCTCTTTGAAAGTCATCCAAATTGGTGGCCATCGCTGCTTCCTGTGGGAGTGAGTTCCATAGTTTAACTGTGCACTAAATGAAGAAGTATCTAAATTTATTTCCCTTGAATCTTCCAACATTCGGCCAAATCTTCCAATCCAAGTGCAAGAGCAGCCTCCCCTCTTGAGGTTTCCATCAATTGCACCCAGAAGCTTTATTGAGAGAGGGAGGAAAACTTCTCTCTTAGCCCCATTCTCCACAAAATTTAAAATTTTATACACCTGTATTTCTCCTTTTGTTTGCGGTGGGGATTTTTGTGGGGTGGGTGGGGAATATCTATTCGTTCTCCTTATGTCTTTGCTCTCCCGTGGCGGCTGTTGTGGTGGTCTCCCCCCCCCCCAACAACTCCAAATTTAGTTGGCCAGAAATGCAGCAGTTGCTGAGCTAAAGAGGAAGATTACAACCCAAATCTGCCTTTGCGAACAGATGGCAGGACGAAAGGAAGCACAACCTTTGTCCCAAGGTAGATCACAGGCTTTAATCTCTCTCCCCCCCCCCCAGATAACAGAGTTTTTGATATACAGTCTTCCCTGCAGACCAATCCTGTCTGCTGGAGTGTGAAAAGCAACACAAGAGATGAAAGAGTTCCTGGGTGGTGGGAGGGAGGGCGGCCTTTGCCAGAGCTAGGCAGATCTTGCTTGCGATTAGAAGTGGGGGAGCCAGAGATGGCTGAGGAAGTTATTTATGGAGGTTGCATCCTGACACTAGATATGGGAGCCATCAAAGCAAGGGGGAGAACTCCTAACACTAGAACTCGTGGACATCAAATGAAGCCGGTCGCTAGAAGATTCAGGACAGATAAAAGGACTTCTTATTTTTAATCTTTGTTGGAATCCGCCCAGAGTGGTTGGGGAAACCCAGCCAGATGGGCGGGGTACAAATAATAAATTATTATTATCATTATTATTACTGCAATGTATAGCTGAACTTTGGAACTTTGGAAGCAGTGGTGGCCACCAACCTGGCTGGCTTTAAAAGAGGACTGGACAAATTCATGGAGCATCAGGCTAGTGTTGGCGACTAGCCATGATGTCAATACTCTGCTTCCAGTCAGAGGCAGCAGTGCCTCCGAATACCAGTTGCTGGAAACCACAGAAGGGGAGTGTGCTCTTGCACTCGGGTCCTGTTTGCCGGTTTCCCACAGACATCTGGTTGGCCGCTGTGAGAACAGGATGCTGGACTAGATGGACCATTGGCTTAATCCAAAAGACTCTTCTTATGAAAATTAGAATTATTCTGCTCTCTTTGTATATATTTTGCTTGGTTTTTCATCATTGCTTCTGCTAATCCTGGGAATGGTTGAAGGTATGGCTGCTTGGACCGGACATAGTGGCAGGCAGAGGACACCCCCCCCAACCCTGCCTGAAGTTAGGAGTTGTCTTCAAGAGAGAGCAGGGAGGCAAATCATTCCCATGTCTTGAACAAGGATCCCACCCTCCTCTTTTGCTGTTATGACTTAGCTAAATAAAGACTCCAAATACATAGAGAGAAGAGTTGGATTTGACTCAAGAGGCATTTATTTGCATTGGGTCCAGGAGTGATCAGTGATGTGAAAGTGGGTCTGGAGGGAGAACAACTCTCTTTGGACCATTTAGCAGAATGTTTGTGCATTCCGCAAGGAAATTTGACGAAAACCAACAGGAGGTTCTAAATCGGGGCTCCAGGAGAAACAGAGCAAATAAAAAACACTGTTCCAAGCCAGTCTGGTGTGCTTTGCATATGACGTCACCAAATACTCTCCAAAGGGTAGTTTGCACAGCTGAAAATGCTTTCTCTGGAATCAGCAGAGATGCTGTTCAAGCACTGACATTGTCCAGCAATTGGCTGGAAGCTCCTTTTTTTCATGCCACTAATAATTTGCCTGGGAGCGCTGCTTTTATTAGTCAAAAGCCAGTGTTGTATTGTGGTTAGAGCAGGGGAAGCCAACATGGTACTCCCCCAAAGTTGCTGGACTCAAACCACCCATCAGCTCCCAGGCAGCAGATCCAACAGTGAGGGGGTGATGGGAGCTGTAGTTCAACAACGTCTGGAGGGCCACAGGTTTGGGAAGGTGGCATGTCGGGCTAGAAGTGAAATGCCCTGGGTTCAAGTTCCCACTCAGCCATGAAATTCACTGGGTGACCTTGGGGCAGTTGCTGCTTCTCAAGCTAACCCTACCTCATCGGATTGTTGTGAGGATTTTTTTAAGGGTGTTGCGTATCCACCACCTTGAGTTTCTTTGGAGAAAAGGCCAGGTATAATTAAATGAATGGTGTTTTTGTACTGTTTACGTTTTAAACTGCACATTTATCTCTTGCTGTTTTAACCAGAGTTTCTCAAGCAAAAGGGGGGGAGAGAGATGGGTTCTTCTCTCTGAAAGAGCTTACAATCTAAATCATAACTAAGGTGAAGGGTGAAGAGAAACTGTATAATTTTTTGCAAGTAATGGAGTTGTATGTGCTATTGTCCAGACTAGATCAGAGCCAGAATGAAAGGTCTCTGAGCGTACCAAAGGAAAAACAGGTTATAAATGTTATTAACATGAACAGTGCTCTCCTCCTGCCCCCCCATCACAGCTCTACCCACCTAGAATGGGGGAGCCAATGGGGAAAGTTGTGGAGGAAGGATCCAGCACAGCACTGGATCATGCCTGGCAAGTCTGTCAGGACAAAGTGCTGTAATATGAATAGCCAACATTGGTGAAATGGGTAGTATTTCTCAGCAGCAGCTTAGTCTTCACAGATGCTAGGTGTGCTTTGTGTATCTCTTACATCATCCAATGCTACTGGCAGAACTGTGTGATTGCCTGGTCTTGCGTTTTGAAGTTTGGGTTCAATTTAAGGAGCAGGGGAACTAACTCTTCTCCATGCTTTAGATCAATCACGAAATGCTGGGGAAGATCCCAGTCCTCAAGAACCTCCGCCACAGAGAGAAACAAGAAGGCAAGGATGTTGCCCTCAAGGAAGAACAGCGAGATGTTCCAGCTGCTGACAAGCCAGTGAGAGTTGCCAAGAAGAGCAGACCTGAAAGAAGCAGTTTCCAGGATCAGGCCAGCCTGTCCCAAGCAAGTCGAGAAGGTGAGGCATCACCAGACAACTATCCCCTCCCTGATGCACCTGCCGCTGTGTATGTGGGCAGCATTCCTCAAGGGACCAGAGTGGGCGAGTTAAAGGATGCCCTGAGACAGCGCCACGCAACCCCTGCAAGACTGACATGGCAAGGAGCACAACACCGGGCGTTTCTCAATTACAGTGATAAGGCCACAGCTGATGCTGCTGTTGTGGCTCTACAGGGCTTAAGCCTCCACGGTAGTCCACTGAGAGTAGAACTCGCCAGGAGCCAGCTGAGCAAAACAGGAAGCAGGCCGAGGTGAAGCTGAACGGACAAGCAGGTGCAGATCTGGGTACACCAATGGAGTACAGCATGCTTGAAAGGGTTTTCAGGGTTGGGTGATCTTATCGAACTTGGAGGCTACTTCTTTGGACAGGGACCCTGAGTCTTCACAAAAATAACTGGTATTTTAATGAATGCTGAGGCTTTAGAACAGATTTTTTTAGCTACTCCAGATGTTGGACTCCAACTCCCATCAGTCCCAGTTAGCATAGCCAGCACTCAAGGATGATAGAAGCTGTAGTCTAGCAAATCTGGAGGGCCATGGATTCCCCCCAAGCTACTCAAAGCTACATTACCCAGAATCCTCAGCAGGGGGCAATGTCAGGGCTTGGTCTACATGGCAGAAGCAATGAGTCTGCCGTCTCTGCATGTTCCCTTAAGTAGAGAACTAGCACATCAAGAATAGTTCTAACCCAGCCCATTCCCTGTTTGCTAGCTTTATGCTGACAGGGAGGTGTTTTCTTTCAGTTTTTAAAGATGGTGGAGCATGCAAAGATGTGATACGCCCCATCACCACAGTCAGAGATGGAAAAGTCCCTTCTAGCATATCACTGCTCTTGACACCTTGTACTTCTGCTGGTACAAATCAGTTTAAACCACTTTGAATTAACCACATAAACATACATTCTATGGAGAAACCATTTAAACCACTTTGCACAAATCCTATTTGGCCATGGTATTGCTTGATGAATCAAAATTATGCGCACCTGCCCAGCTCTCTGCTGTTGCTCCCTTTATATCCATTTACTATTTTGCTGCATTCAGATATGAATTATAATACTTGATATTTGAGTACAACTAGGGTTGGCTTTCTACTGCATTAGAGCTCCCATCATCCCTGACTATTAGGCCATGCTGGCTGGGGCTGATGGAAGTGAGAGTCCCACAATATTTGGAGGGCCACAGGTTCCCCATTCCCTTGTGAAAGAGGGGAATGCCTCTTCTGAACAGAGTCATTCTTCCGTCTTTTCCAGGCAGCAGAGAATGCTGCTTTCGAAATGAGGGATAGGGGACCTTGTGTTGCTGGACTACAAGTCCCACCACCCCTGACCATTAGCCATGCTAGCTGGGGCTGATGGGGAATGTGGTCAAACAACCTCTGGAGAGCACCAGGTTCAGAAAGGATCCTCTGTGGGGAAGAGTTGATGTGAAGAGTGCATTTAGAACACGTGTGCACAAATGCCTTTTACAGAATAAAACTAATCTCTTGGATTTCCCCTCCCTCTCTAATTGTATGTTTCTTTGTTTCCTGAAAAACTGGTGGGATTGTGGCTGAACCTTTTTTTCTAAACAGAAGCTCTTTTGCAGCCGATCTCAGGCAAAAAGTCAAAATAAGCATTGCGATGTTCTCTTTCTTTGAAAAAGAAAATACAAGAGTTGGAAATATTTTTCATAGCTCCAGGATGTACTCTTAAGTATATTTTAAGCCCATTATGATGCCCCAAGAGAGGCAGACCTTTCAGAAAGCATTAAAGAAAACCTTTTCAAGGTTGTAGAGTTGTTTTCTGGGCAAAATCCCACAGCCTGTTCTGCCTTCTCTTTTTTGCAACCCCCCCCCCTTTTTTTTTTGCCTTAGGAAAACAAAAGCTAAAAGCAATTATATTGATGCCCTGCAACAGTTTGAAAGAAACCAACACAATGGGAAAATGCCTCTTCCCTTCCCTTCTTTTTTTCCCAAGAGCTTGAGCACTAGGAATGTAGGAAGCTGCCTTATACAGAGTCAGACCACTGGTCCTTCTACCTCAATGTTATCAACACTGACTGGCAGCAGCTCTCTGGGATTTCAGGAAGTTCCTTTTCCAGTCCCGCTTAGAGGTGCCTAGACTCAAACCTGGGTCCTTCTGAGTGTACAGCAGTTGCTGTGTCTCTGAGCCACTGGTGCTCGCCATATTATACTACAAGAGCTTATGGCTTGCATCCGGGGTTCTCGTCCTATACAGAGGAGACCCATTCAAAATAACGAGTGTAGCTAACTCTTAAGTTGTAATTAAACTAAGTTGCATTCAGAGTTAGCCACCTACTCCTAGGACAGGGAACATGTGACCCTCCAGATGTTGTTGGGTCTCCAATTCCCATCAGCCCCAACCTGGATAGCTAATGGGCAGGGATGGTCGAACAAAGAACTGTCCTGTGTGAGCTCCATCCATCAAAAGGGGCTTCTAACCTGCTCTTCTTAAATAGTAGCACCATCTTTCCATGCCACCCTGCAGATATTGCATTTCAAGCTCCTTTGGAAATTCTGCAAAATTTCAAATGCAATTTCTGATGCAATGGGAAATGCTCAGAAGATGGGGACCAACATTTTTCTTGAGATGGTAAACACATACCACCTCCACCTACTTTAAGTAATTCTTTGGGTTGGGGACCATGGTTTCCAAAAAGCATAGTGATTTTCAAGTCAGATGATCCAAAGGATGGTCCCTTTCCTGTTCTGTACACTGGGTTTTTAATCTATAGAAACCTCTGTGGGGAATAAAAATATAGCTAATCAGCCAGAAAAATAGAAAATAAAATTGCAACATTGTTTAAGCAAATGATTAGACCAATTAATAGAATGTGGGTTGAGTAAAATTGGAGTCCCTGGTGGAGAGCAGGCGCGTGTTTTTGCTTTCTTTTTAATTTTATTTCCCTATAAATAGAATAAACAAAATGGTGAAATAACTTGCATACAGTGGTACCTCTTGTTACGAACTTAATTCGTTCTGGATGTCCATTCTTAACCTGAAACTGTTCTTAACCTGAGGTACCACTTTAGCTAATTGGGCCTCCCGCTGCCACCACGCCGCTGCCACACGATTTCTGTTCTCATCCTGAGGTAAAGTTCTTAACACAAGGTACTACTTTTGGGTTAGCGAAGTCTGTAACCCGAAGTGTTTGTAACCTGAGGTACCACTGTATATGAGAGCATGTGGATAACGCATTATCAAAAATATTGACTTAGGCCATTAAAATACAAAGTTTTGGTAGAATACAAAATATAAAATAAAAACATCCATGTAGCTATGATATAGTAGCCTTTCCAGTATCTGAGTTTCCCCAGAAAGGTGTGGTAGTGGTTTTTCTCTATTGTGAAATGGTATCAGCATTGACAACTGCGTTTCTTACTTCCTTGCAGGTAAGAAGGTTATAATACGTGAGAGGAGTAGAGATATTGTTAAAAAGAGATTGCAGCTAAGTTAACCAGATGGCAGGAGGAGGGGGGTTGTTCATTTTCTGGGACACTGGCAGAGCATACATTATGAAATCAAACCAGACAGAAGTAAAATTGTCTTTCTTATTTTGTCCCCAGCACATCCACATCTGTTTGTCAGTCTTTCTAAGAGAGCTGTTTTCCACACCAATTTGTACCAATTAGTTATCATGTGGTGCTTAAAGCTTGCCACTGTCCCTGCCTTATAAGCAGCATGTAGAAAGGTATTCCAGAGGGTGGGTGCAATTTTGACCATTGCCCATGTTGAATGGGGCAGATGAGAGCTCACCAATAACTGGAGTGCCACAGTCTTGCAAAAGAGAAAAGAAAAATACCTTCCTCTTGTTTTGGTAAGAATTTTAACAGTTGCTATATTAAGAGGTGGTTGCCTTCATAGATGATTTCTATGACTTTGGACTGTTTCATTTACAGAAAGCAAAGTTTTCATCTCCGAAAGGAAACAATCACTCAAGTTGTTGATATATGGGAGTCATTCTTTGCTGCTGCGTGTAAACAGGCGCAGCAATTCCTATTGTACATAAACTCCTGGTTCCTTGCAAATCCCCAGGGAAGCATTATTATATCCTGCTTCTTCCAGGTGTGGCTTTGCTTGCTGACCATTAGATTTGGAGAGCTTTTCGCAGAAAGGAATATATCCCAATACCTTGGGGCTATTTCTGGCATTTCAAGATTCCATTCCAAACAGCAAGGGGACTCAAAATATGAAGTGCCAGGAAATGGAGGGAAAACTCCAGAAATACTTTTTTTTAAAAAAGAAACCTAAATGAATTGTCATAATATGATTTAGGAGCAAATGTCTGCCTGGCTAGAATTCACCAACATGTCCCCCTTTTGAGGAACGTCCTTATAAATGCATTTACAAAAGTGTCAGCATCATAAAGCTACGCAGGTCCTTACCTTTAAAAAAAATAAATCTTTTTTTAACACTTTATGGCTAGAACTCTATGCAGGTTTGCTCGCTTTCAAATAAACTTGCATAGCATCAGCTGGTGAGTTTTCCAAAGTCACTCGCTTCTTAGCAGTCATAAATTCCATGAGTGGCCAGCAGGCAGCGCAATTGGCGCATCAAACATCCATTGAAATCTTAGGCCCTGCATCTCCGCATGGTTTTTAAGCATCTATCTTTCCCTCTCCTACATTCCCCAGTTTGTTTGGTTTCATGTTTACGGTTTTTATATTTTATGGTCTGTTTTACTGGTAACCACCATCAGTACTCTTTGGGGTGGAAAGGTAAGTTAGACGTTATTTAAGTAACCAAATAAAAACTGATCATAAAAAGTCATGCTAATTGAGAGGTTTGGTATGTGGGCATGGGGGGGGGTGGAGAGCAGGGAACAGGGAGTTATGGTCTAAGTAATGTTCCAAGGAAACATCGGAAAGGGGGGGTCCAAAAATGTGATACAGTACTGAAATTGTGCCAGATTTTGAATTCAGTAAGAATTAAATATCTGCACCTCTTGATTAGTGTGTCTCACTGCTGACATAACCATTTCTCCTTGATTCCTCCCTCTGAATTTTAACAAGGACTGATGCAGGCTGTGGTGTATACCTTGTAGAGCTGTAGTATTCTGAGTCAACACATCAGGGCCTCATCCAGACCCTGCCCCAAGCTATACTTTCCTTTTACCTTGAATGTTTATCTTGCGAACCACCGTGAGATCTTATGATGGTGATACGTGTCTAATAAATAAAATAAATAAATAAAATGTTTGGGTTTTAATCTTTATTAATTACATTTACCCCCTGATTTTTCTCCAAGGAATTCCAGGTGGCATAAGGTGTTCTCTTCATTTTTTTAATCCTTATAATACCCCTGTGAGGTGGGTTACACTGAGTGAAAGTGACTGCCCCTAGGTCTCCCAATGTGCTTCATGACTGAGTTGTGGGTCTATACCTGGGGTCTCCCCAGTACTAGCCCAACACTCTTAATGCATTGGCCGAAAAAATCATTGCAAGCATAGAGGTTTATATACAACTAAATTACATTCAATGGGGTTGCATCCATGCTAGTTGTTTAATGTTATCTTTAAACAATCACAGCTGCTCCTCAAGAATCCTGGAGAATAGTTTGTTAAGAGAGCTGTTAACCTTCAGGGCACTATAGTTCGCAGAACCTAGAACAAGCCACAATTCCCAGGATTCTTTGGGGGAAGCCACGCCTGTGGAGGTGGAATGGGCCAGGACTGAAAAAGTGCTATATAGTGTGACCTGGATCTCCTCTGAGTAGAATTTAGAGTGCTCCAAAGGAACTCTTTCATGTTACGATGCCTTCCATCTTCACTTTGGTGTGATGGGGACTAAATCCAAGTGCGCAGGAGTAGTCTATGAAAAGCTGCCCTCCTCCAGGGAAATGAATGGAGGCTCCCTCATGAACGCTAGAGCAGTGTTTCCCAACCTTGGGCCTCCAGCTGTTTTTGAACTACAATTCCCATCATCCCTGACCACTGGTCTTACTAGCTAGGGATGATGGGAGTTGTAGTCCAAAAACAGCTGGAGGGCCAAGGTTGGGAAACACTGCGCTAGAGAACATCCAGTGCTTCGTGGTGTGGTATGTCATGGCAGCTACCAGGCCCCCTGAAATGCGTTCACAAGCCAGTAAAAATGTTCATGACTGTCAGACAGCTTGGGGTGGAGGGAATCCAGTTGGCAAATCCTTGTGCGAAATAAATATCCCCCCTCCCCTATTACCCCTGCCGTGGTCTTTGCAAAAGAACAGGGTGACTGCTGTCATGTGTGGCTTAAACGGACCATAACCAGACACACTTGGTGTCTGATTCCCAGCAGAGATGTGGATTCTTGCTGCGATAAGAATAGACCTGGTGGGACAAGACTGCATTGGAGTCTGTAAAGTTTTTGGAAGCTGGCTGGGTGGCCCATTCCTTTGTCGTCAACATTGGTCTTCATGACAGCTTCATGGGTGCCCTTGGATTCAATGCAATGGTGTATAAAACACCATTGGTGGCTGCACAGCAACAGCTGAGAGCCCATGATGATGATGATGATGATGGTGATG